CTAATATTCTTACTTGAAAATATGTTTCTTGGTTTTAGAGACCCATAAATATTTGGATAAAAATTACGTTCAACAGAAACAAATTCATCGCTCTTAAGGTGCAAAGCACGTCATTTGACGTAATGTAAATTAATCTTATTTCCCAATCTCAAGTCAGTACCTATTCACAATCCACACCAGTGTGCCAGTATTCTCTCTAAGCGTTTTAAACTTATAGTGCTACATCATTTTATATTTGCCTCTTTGGATGGTTTTATACTGTCTTACAATATCTTTCATGACGTTATATGTAAGAAGAACATCTTTTAATGTTTTCTTAGATTTTTGTTGTGTTCTTTCAGTTCTGCAGCAAACAAATAATTGATAATGATTAGGGCAAAAGTGTGCATTAATATTTTTTTTATGACTCAAACTTTTAGAATGGTTTGTTTTGGAACATAAATTTTGAGGTTAGATTAGGTTGGGTAAGGTTAAAAGTTAGGTTGAAGTCAAATCAGACATCAATTTCGATTCAATCGATTTTTAAAACTTGTTTTAAAGGTTGAAAAAATCACAGTTTAAGTCAATATATTTATTTAGTTTGACAAAATAATAACTAAAATTAAAAAGTAAATAGCAAATCATATCCGTTTCAATAGCTTTAAAATGAGGTATTTTGCAACTTTTAATCTTAATAAACTTGTAATACGCTTCTACCATTAACATTGCCGTTATGGGCAGGAAATCAAAGATTGCCGGCGGTCCTGTTGATCCTGTTGGTAACAATAGAGTGAATTTGTATAGATGTCAATACCTTCTTTTAACGCATCAACTTTTATAACATTATATTCAGATTTGCGATTTGTATCGAGATTGTGAGAAAAGTTGATAGTGCGTGTCTTTTTGATAATTTAAAACAACTTTCCTTTATCATAAGGCTTTTAATAAATAGTCGTGGCTAAAGAAACAGCTGATCTTAGTCGGTAACAAACCTACAAGCCATCTCACTCCATTCATCACTCATATATATAGGTACATTTAAATATGCAACATTTTTTTGTTCCTTAATTAATTCAACAATATGGATCCAATTGTTATGGATACTTTGCTAGCTTTAGTTAGTGTTTTGGATCTTGTTGGAGGATCGGGCTTGATCCTGGCATGTCTACAAAAGTTTGAAGGTCCGTACTGGCACTGCTTTACCTTTACAATTAAAATCATACAAAATGCCACTGGATGAACAAGTAAAAAAAATGTTTACTGCTGTTATTAATCTAAAAATTATTTTAGACATGAAGCCTGATATCAAAACTGAAAAAGAGCCTGCAAAGGATGAAGCAGCCGAAGAAATTGCCAAAGATAAACCTCAAAGTCAGCGGCCCCAACACACGAGGGCTTCAGACATCATTGTACTTACAGTTCTCGCCACATTCCTTCTGCTCTACATTCTCATCAAAGACTGGCTGTTGATAGTAATAAACGGTGTACTACTGTGTCTCTATGTGTTATTTATTCGACGACGACTGCCTCTTCCCGTCTATGGAACAATGGACCTCGTTGAATATCTAAACAAACTATCATGACTGTCAATATGTTTGAAAATACACGCTTTTAACGTTTTGTTGTTTAATTAATCCTGGCGAAAGAGTCAGCTGGTGCTAGTAATATAGCTACATTCTCTCACACATTCTACACTAATTTGTTCAAATTTGGGGGTTTAATTCCTTATTTGTGTGCTTATTGGAAGATTTTATAATTTCAATGTGTGTAATAGGTGTAATCTCTTTAATGCGTGGAGTTGATCAAGCTACTTATTTGTTCCTAAAAATTCTAGTACATGAAAGCACTAAGTGGTTCTTATGCTTATCCACTGTAATAGCTTAAATGAAATACATAGCAGCTACATAGCTGAAATTTGTGTCATTCTGTTCAAAAATGGTGTCAGCAGTAAATGTTTATGAGCCTTATTGTGGCATAAAAGCAAACTATGGATTTATACACGAAACCAGCCCTTAGTTTAACAAAAACTGCCCTTGTAATTCTTACGCTGTTAAGTAGGCTTGCTGTAACCCCTTTTCTTTTATTTTTATATTAGTATATAATCATAATGTAAACTGAGAGTGATAATAGTTTTAATTTTTTTAAGTTGTAGTTTTAATTTTTTTTTGCGTTGTGATGAAAAAAGCGTTGTTTATCATAACTTGCACCGAAAGTGATTTTCTTATTCTCGTCCCCGGCTTTTCCTCATGTGTAAAACATGCTCTGACATGCTTGGCTTCGCTTTGTATGTAAAATTTGGGCCCACACTGGAAAATGCCATTTTTGGTTCTTGCAATAAAATGTACTTATTCCTACAAAGAGTTTTCTCATCAAGTCTCCTTGAAAATCATTAAGTGAGAGAGAGGTGTAGGATAACAAGAGCACACTCTAGCACTACCTAACATTAAACTCAATCATTTATGAACCCAGCACAATATACACTATATTACTACATATAAGAAAACATGTCTATAACGTGTGTTGTGAAAGATAAAATCACCCTCTCTGTAAAGGGATACAAAAAGACACATGATGGAAAAAAAATAAAAATACCCCCGCCGCAGCAAACCTGACGCCTAAGCGAATTTCCATTTGGCTGAATTGATTTTCAATTGATCTATTTAAATAACATTAGGTTTAACGAGTACCTAGGTTTGCTGCTACAAGGAAACTAATAAAGTGTGTGTTTTAAGTAAAATAATTATCGCTTAGTATAAAATGAATATATTTGCCAAGTTTGATCAAAAGATATCCATAAACAAGCAAACTACAACATTTTACAATATTCTCCATAAGAATAACATGGGAATTTTAAATTTACCATTTTTTTAGTTTTCTCTGTAACCAATAACCGTACAAAAACACTTTGATATACTGAATTGTTTGTTTTTTTAAGCTCTTTAAGAAGGTTTAGAGAAAAATTGGGAAATTTTGTGTTTTGAGGGTCAAAAGTGAGAAAAACCAATTTTTACCCCATAAAACCCCCCATAAAACCCTGTTCCCATGGTCCGATCATGCTGGATCGCGAACTCATTCAAGTTTATCCCGCCTTACACCTTCAAACCAAATTTCATCAAAATTGGATAAAAATTACTCAAGTTATCGTGTTCACGGACACACACATATATATATATATATATATATATATATATATATACATATATAAAAATTTGAACGAGTGGTGTTTTTGGCCTCTGGGGACATCAAAATGAAAAAGTAAATCGGTCCCGGGCCTAAGTCTTACCATGAGACCTACGGTAATAGCTACTTCCCTATAGGGAAATTCGCTAAAAAGGAAAAAATATTGTAAAGAACAAATTTCACTTTAGCAGTGCTACACACCATAAAGCTTTCTATAGACTTTTCATTAACTTAGGCCTACAAAATTCCTTTGGCTAATAAGTTAGCCCACATTGAACCCAAAGTCATTTCTTTCCTAATAAAGATAATTCCTAATTTATGTTTTATTTCTGTCTAATGAGGTAAGTCTTTATCTTAATCTTATAATTATGAATTATTCTAAGAATAAATAGATTTGGTAAGTTACAATATATAATTTATTAATGAAGTACAAATATAAGATAAGTTATTGGTTGAATTAGCTACAGGGTAAGTTAACAATGGTAAATTTTCAAAATGGTGGGGGTTCCAAATGGGATAAAAAGATTCTAGGCTTATATTGGGTTGGTTTCTTCTAAAGTACTGATTAATATTTAAATAGATGACCTCTTAATCTCAGGGAGGGGTGGTCGTGCCGGTTCGAATGATATATTAGGCTTCTTTAAAATGTAGATAATTTAATTTAGTTACTATTCTGAAATACTAGGTTCGTGATGCTATTAATATAATAATATTAATGTCTAAAGAAAGATTCCAAATGGTTTCACTGAATTTAATGAAATAAAATAGAATTTGAAGATTAAATTTTGAATAAAAGTTCAATTTGAAATATGTATATCTTGATGAGTTAGGTGAATTGGGCCTAGTAGGCTATGCTGATTAAATGTCCAATGAAGATTAAATTTGTCCTTAGTTAAATAAGATGGATGATGGTTACCAAATTTGGAGTGTCTGTCTTCTTATAAATTGGTACTCTTCAATGCACTTGTCCAATACTTTTGGATGATGAGAAATTTAAGTTTTAGGTTTTACTTTGGGATTATGAATTTTAGTTTAAATTAAACACAATTTCCAACAGAATGATGTTCACACTGTGAAGAGTTGGCAGGATCTGGGGAGAGGCAATGGTAGAAGCTCAGGAAGTCCATGTCCATTGTTGAAGTGATGTACAGCTGGTTAATTTACATGAATGACACTTGCCACAGTAAATTTGATTTTCTTTGGATAATTTTGAAAAATGATACTATATTTAAGATGTTATTATTATATTGCAATTTTCTTACAATTCTATATTATTCTAAATAAATGATTATTGTTGGTTTTTGATAAGTACAGGATAGGTATGGACAGAATTGGCATAAATATTATATTGTAACATAAAATAGGATGATGTTTCTGTGGGGTGATGGGATATTATATAACATTGAACAAAATTGGATAAAATAACACATTAACAAGGAGGAACATATTAAATAACTGATAATACATTATCAGGGGCATTAACAGACATTATGGGAGAAAATACACAAAATAATACAGAAATTAATGTTAATGATGAATGAATGACATGTAATATTACAGCAGTACACTAGCAGGATTTAGGTGAAAATCCTTTATTGAATATTTTATATAAATACAAGTCCATAATACGTATACTGTACAAAATATTTTCACTTATACAGCAATCACATTCAGTACCTGGAAATTGTCTAGGTAACCAAGAGGTAATAGTGCTCGCTTTTAAATCTAAAGGTTGCTGGTTTGCTTCCGAGCAGTGCTCTTTTGTCAATTATATTGGTAATTCTTTCTAACTATTGAAATAAAAAGATCAATCTAATGTAAAAATAAGATTTTATTCACATGTTGTGTATAGCTTTCGAATCGCTAGTAAAATTTGTCATCTCTCACTAAAGTTTGGCAATCAGGATGTATACCATGGTAATCACAAGCAATATAAGAATTGGTGTCATGTTGATTTTCCCATTCAGAAGCATAACAAAGAATGAAATAAACAGCATGAACAAGAAAACGTCAGCTTCATTCATTCTGGCCTCGATCCTGACATTAATTTCTGAAACAGTTTTTTGGGTTTTACATAAAAAGTTTACTTAAGGAAGATTAAAGTATTTGTTGTACAAGAGTGGTCCTAGCCTTACATTTTTTCGTGAGGGCGTTGTCCAAATACACATGTAAAGTTATAGGTCAATTATTTGAGGGGCATGGATTATCCAATAATATGCCACAAACTTACCCGGTGAGAGGGGGTCGGGGGTATCCCAAAAATATTGATACCGTGTAATTGATATTTCAGTGTTTAAAATGCATGAATTGGCCATTTTTTACACTTAACACGTTCGCTACTGCAATAGTACGAAATTTTGCATTCACATGGACCATCAGGGACGCACATATGCGACGGCCGGTTTCCACCCATAGACTGCCGTCGCATATTTGCGGTGGGGTTCTAATGTTATTAAAATGCTTATATCTTTGTAATGGTCTATTTGAAGGCACTGAATTCCCTGCAGTGGTCTACAGAGATGTCTGACGCACAACTGCGTCGCTTGGTCTGTTGATATGATGATTGGTGACGTCATATGATAATTGGAAAAACTGGTCTTTACTTTTCTGCATCGCCTTATGTATGTATGCAGTATTTATGCTGCATTATTCTCTGTAGCTTTTATATTTGTTCAGTTGAAAACTGTTCTTGAATAATCTGTGTTTTTTACTTACTTTTATCTCAAAACACAAACAAAAATAAACTGTCGCATATATGCGACGTTTGGTCTATTTCAAGAAAACTATGATAATTTTCACTATTGTCTTTGCTGTAGACCGGGCGTCGCAAATATGCGACATTACAAAAGGTTGTAAAAAATATAAAAAACAAGAATAAATTATTTAGAAACACGATTGTAGCACATTACAACAATATAAATGATCACTGTTTGACAGGTTTTCACCCGTGGTGACTGTGTGTACTGTTAACCAAGTGACAGCCGGTCTATAAGATTCAAATGTATACCTCGGTCTGTGGCAATGACCGCGGCGTCGCATATATGCGACGCTCAGTAGCGAACATGTTAAATTTCAGAATTCTTTATATAGATATGTTGATAATGTTTTCAGTAGTAAGTTTAAGTAAATTAAAGAAAGTAATGCAAAAAAGTAAATAATTTATCATTAATTTAATCTTGTTTTTGTATATAAAATTCTACATTAATAATCAGACTTTTATTGTCAAAATGAATTCAATTTCAAATAAAGCAATAATAATAATAAATATTACAAGTCACAAAATGTTTACGTTGACGTGTTTGGAATGGAAGATTTTTGCAAAGTAATGACACCTACATGACTCCCACGGTCCTCACTCTCAAGGAGCCCCAGTACCATGGTGAGGTTTCATGGCAATCTATACTCATGAGCAGAGGTTAGAGCTTGGAAGGATAAGTTTTAGCATTGACTATATAACACTACTAGTGTTATATAGTCAATGGTTTTAGTATTTCGTGCCAGTATTGCTGGGACAGTAGCAATAGTAAATCGGTTAAACCATAAACAATTAGTGTATGAGTTAAATTTTAAATTTATATGCTTTATATCAAAACAAGAAGTTATGACCTATCTTACCATCATAGATACATTATTATACTGGTGGACAGCAGTTTTCTTGTTCACTTTTAGTGCTGGAAAAATAGAAAACTTGACTGTCTAATTGCTATTACATTGGAAACAAATTAAGAAATAGATTCCAACCTATTCATATGGGCCCACATAAGAAGTATTAGGTAGTTTAAAAAATTACCTGAAAGCGACCAATAATTTAGAAAATAAAATAACAGTCCGTTGGAAAATACCTTATTTTAGGTAACAAAATATGAAAATATTGTATGGTGGTTTATACCAAATATTAACGAACATGCTTAGCAAAATTAAGGGATGAAAAAAGCTGGAAAGATCTGTGGATTGAGATTTTAAACACTTATCGAGTTTCAACAGAAAGCAATTCAATTTGAAAAGTTTCAGCAATGAACACTGCAGAGAATATCTGACGAATTATTGAGAAAGTGAAGTGATCCATGACCCATAAAGGAAATTGTTTTGCGGGTTTAAAGACTGATTGCCAAGCAGTCCTGTACATCATTTGATGAATAAGAACCTATTTCACAATGCTGACAATTTGTTAATGTTTATATGACAATTAATCAGAAAATTCATTTTATATGTTTGGAAATAGAGGTACCAGGAAGCCATTTCACGCTGATCAAAATACATGCTGTTTAAACAATAATATGTTCACATTAAATCTAGATTTATAAAAAAAATTGGTTGGAGATAAAATCAAATAGTTTTACTGTAACTAGGGCTATAGACCCTACTTATATAAAAGGCAAACCTGCATACTGCATACCTACCTTTTTGACTTACATGACAAATTCTGATTTGCTGTTCCTCTCCAAAACTATAATTTAAATTATTCTTTGTTATTTTATTGTTCAAGTTATTGACATAGTTTCCATGGCTTTTTAATATTTCTAGTACCGGTAGTCTGTAAGTTTATCACTCCTATTGATTTCATGTAAGGCTCTTTCTAAGATGCTATTCTTGATATTATTACTTTGATGTAGAATAGAGAAGATATATTTAATAAACACAACAAAATAATCCAGTTCTCTCTATAACAAGATGGATAAATGTCATTATAAGATCACATTTGATTTTAAAAACCACTTTTTAGCGAATTTCCTTATAGTGAATAAGGTATTACCGTAGATGGCACCGCACAACCTAGATTCCTGACTAATGATTTTCTTTTGCATTTTGTTGTCTACAGAGCCCAAATTATAAAATAAAATAAACTTTACAATAGAATTTTATTTATAAAATAAGTGGTAGATGCCTTACTATTTCATTCAGCTAAATTTTCTTCGTTATAAACTCAAAGCACAAGTTTAACTGCAGTAAGCACATTATTCGCTTACAAGTCAACCAAGCCCCGCGTATTCTGCTAGTAGGAAATAAATCTAGTTCCCGGAAGTATTTGAGTAAAAATCCAACCACACAAATGTTCCCTTAATCTGCAGCTTTTCTTCAACGGGGATATTTAAAAAACCGGTGAACTAGAAATATTTAAAAACAAGAAACAGAAAATAGTCATAATTCTTTTAATGCTTAACTAAGAGAAAATTTAATAAAAATAAAAGATTTTTATTCATACAAAAAAATCATTAACAATAACAAAAGTAAACTAGCTGCATAGTCATATACAGTAGTTCATTAAACAAATATATGGTTTTAGAATCGTCACTAGTTAGTAAAACTACAAAACCATTTAGGCTATTTGGTATGATCACAGGTAATTATTTACTGAACTTAATCACTGATCTGTATCCTAATTACCTCATTCACAAACACCTGATTCTGTTTGCAAAAAAAAAAAAAAAAAAAATAGATACACTACACTAGCCCACAACAGTTTATATCCATGGCTTATTGGTGATTACTTCCACTCCAGCAAATGATCAGAAAATAGTGCACAAGTACAAATACAATTCTTATTCATTTTTTAGCTTCTTTTCCTTCGTTGCATGAGAAGTTGATACAGCACTAACCGTACATGAAGAGGTAGAACACAACACAACAGTAAATTTTCAAAGTTCTAACGGTGATGCAGTTTTTTTCTCTTGTTCCAACAAAGTATCAGGAGGTACTACCGCCACCGCACAAGAGCTCATATTCACATTTCGATTGGGAATCCTGAATATCTCCTAATATCTTTGTCCCACCGATACATCAGCAAGTAGTAGACAAGCCACAACAATCCACATGACACCAAGGCTTCTGGCCTGTTGAAAATGAAGAACAAAAATATCAGATACAGTGAGCATAAAAACACAACAATATGAACAGCCTTCATGATCCACTTCAATATGATAGCAACACAAGTGAAATTACTAATTGACACAGGTGGTTTTGACAACACTTGCTTGGCCTTTTGTTTGTTTACTCGCATGAAAAATATAGTTCATCTGTAGTAGATGTAAAAGTTTTGAAATGTGTCAACCAACATTATTGCAATATTTTTGTTATTGTTTTTGTTTACAATATATATTAGAAAAATATATTAATTTAAATACCTAGATTAAAATTTAATCCAGTTTAATCTAATATATGATTATTATTATAGTGTGAGGATTCTTATGCTATTGAAAATATGTTTTTATGTGCGTTTCACGTAGGCGATTCAGTTCATGGGCGTACCCAGAGACGATCAGAAGCCAGGATAAGGTATAAAAAATTGAGATTCAAGAACAATTTTATTAGTACGAGAAAAGATGAGTAAGATAGTTCACAGATTTTTTAACAATATTTTTTCATTAGTTTCTGAGTTATTTCTTTAATAAAATAAAAATTCCAAAAGTAGTAATAAACAGACCAATTTCTTGCAATATGTATAAACTAACAACTTTGTGTAGTATAATGAACAAATATAAACCTATTTTTAGTATTTTTGTGACATTATTTTGTTTTCTTTTTTCATTTGCCTTCAACAATAATAATGTAACGAAGAAAATTGCTCTACGGCGTAAGTTACATTTCTGGGGTTATAAATGGATGTGAAAAGTTGGCATGGACACAAAAAATACAGTTAAATGTGTATTGTAAAGATAAGCAACCTGACCTGTCCCCATTGGCAGAAATAAAGCCACTTTATAAACTATGACTTTATATCACTGGATTATCGAGCTAGGTTTGTTATATTAATGTCTCAAAATAGCGTAAAAACACTATTATCAGCATATTGTTTATAAAAATTTTCCGTGAGGGGGTTGGGAACCCCCGGACCCCCCTCCTTACTGGGCCTCCCAGGCCCCCCCCCCTGGTGGGCCACCCCTAGTGACTCCACTAGGGGTTTCATGCCACTAGGTTTCAAGTACGCTCTTGCCCTCCCCCCTAGTTTCGATCCTGGGTATGCCCTTGATTCAGTTTGCTGATGTCTGTTTAGATATACATATTTTATTTTATGCAACATTTTACAATTTGTTTTACACTTTGTATGGAACACCAGATTACAAAACTTTTGTTTAGGCCAATAAAATTGAACTATTAGATTAAATTTGCTGTGTAGCAAAAAAAATAGTAGGACAACAACTAAATATTTTCTACACATTCCCGGAAGGACTTAACTTTTGATAATTTAATTCATTCATTTTCCATTGTAGATTTAAAATTCCTGTAAGTGTGTATACCTAAAAAATAATCTTAAGGTCATTTTTGTCTGTTTTATGCAGATGACATTTTTTTACGGTTTCTTCGTGTTAATTATTGGAACTGTTCAAACCAAATTTAACAATCCATTTATAAACTTATCACTATAAAAGTAAATCGAAAAATGTTAATAATGCAGCCTAAAACAACAGAAATACATCTAGTAAACGTCGGCGCACTCAAATGTTGATACCATAAGAAACAAAACTGGTTTAAGATTTTACAATACGGCCTAGGCTATAAGAAGTCTAGACCTATTTTAGGTGTGCAAAGTGAAGTAGGAAATGTAAGTGCCCTTAAAATATAAAATAAACTATACATTTATGAGAATATACTACTTTAAAACATTTAAATATAGGTTCTAATATAGCATACACAATGTTTGACAAGTAAATACCAAATTCACGTCTTAAACCAAATCTTCAATTATGATGATATATTTAAAAAAGCTGATTGTAAAAGGTTTTTACGTTATAAGTAGTGTATTCAGCTCAAATTGAACTACACTACTAACTGTATTAGCAGCAGGTATTCAAGTGGACATCTGCAACTGAGTGCTAACAATATGTGTTGAGTTGGAACATTATACCCTACTTCTCAAATTCGGTGTTCAAACATCATCAAAGTTTTAGGTCTGGTTCTTTGTTAATGATTATTAAAAAGGTTCCAAATTAGTGATTTAAAAACCTCATATGTATGCGGAAACCGCAAACCGGAACACTATATTCAATTAGCAGTAGTCTATGCCTGGTGTGTAGTGCAGTAATTAAGGCTAGAAATAACAATCAAACCAGTTATCAGCTGTCTTATATTTGCTGGTAATCCTATACCAATTAGCTATGCATTGTCGCTTTACATAAGAACACGGGTAAAGGAAGGACCAATCAATGACAGCTGATTGTTTGATCAAATGCAAAAGTTAAATGCGTTTAGTTCATTAACTGAAAAGCTACACCATTAATAATTACACTGCAGTAATGTCAACTACTATTGCAGCTCGTCAAACATTAATGAGGCTGACTGCAAAAGAGCTTACAGAAACTGACAGCTGTGCCCTACTCGGCTTTGTCTCTTCTCAATTTTTGTTTCATCATTTTTTGCAATAATAAAAGCAAAATTACAAATTTTCTAACATTATACACGTTTTCATGACAATACCATATATAATTAAGGCCTTAAATGACTATTTTCCGGACAAGAGTTAAAGAAATTACTGATTTATATTGAATACACCTTAATTTGAACCAAGTGAAAGTGATAGGTACTGATTGTAATCTGTAACATCTTTTATGTCACATGGCATATCTCAGTAACTGTAAATAAAAACATTGTAAATCTTAGCACTTTCTGTGAGTGTTTTATTCTACGATATTCTTATTAAATAAACAAAATATCACAGCTGGCATATATGTAGATGCGATTTCTATGTACTTCAGTGAAAAGTCAATGGTGGCTCTTAATTAATGTTCAAGATACTATGTATTAACTATCTGTTTTGTGTATGTTGTTAATTGATGTTTGATTTTATTGATCACATTTTTGTACTGCTGTAGTTATTTTATATTTCATCCAGGCAAGTGAATATTTTTGGTATTAATTATCTCCATCCAATGTCGTGTCTATTGAATTAAAATTCAACACAGGTAATGTTTCCAATAAAAATACACTTTTTAGTAAAAAAATAATTAAATCATATAGTTAGAGCCTCATTTTAGTGCATTATCGTCATTTATATACAGGGTGTCCCACGAAGAGGTTTACACTTTTGATTTTATATTACTTGCCCATTTATGGGCCAACAGTTCTGAAACTACACAATTTATAAAGTAGGGGTTGCAAATATACCGAAAAAGTTTCAGCTCCCTAACCCTTGTAGAAACAAAATAGTGGCATTTTGAAAATGATACTTTAGGATTGTGTTAATATGACAAATAATGACTAAACATACCTCGTCAGACAATCCTTAACATGTAGTTTCAAATTTGCTACATATGTTTCGGCGGTTATTTAAACATCTCCGCCATCGTCAGGGAAACAAAAGGATCCACTTGGTGTGTCGTCAGAATAAATAAATAAAACCTACATTTTACACAAAACATAAAAACAACAATGATTGGCGTCAATAGGCACAATATGCCTATCATTGTTGTTTTTTGTTTTGTGTAAAATGTGGGTTTTTTTATTTATTCTGTCGACACATCAACTGCACACCCTGCCGTGGACATGGCAAATGTACACTGCAATCATTGCAAATGTACAGCATAGGTACAAATAGGTGCATATTACAAATTAATATGCACCACACCCGTACCTTGTAACTCTGGTAGTATAATATATTTTCCAATGCTATTTGAATAATTGTACACAATGTTTTAATTTTATGAACATTAATAATTTATTTTTGTAAAAAAATTCAACCGACTTCAAACGCTCTAAAAAGAATGAAATAATTTCAATAAAGTAAACTTTTGTATTAGGCAAGCTCACGTATTTTAAGTCGGCGCGGCTCTATGATGATTTTTGATACAAAATTGAAAGAGGGTGTCCATATTGCATGTGACTATAACTAAAGGTGTTAATCTGCATGTCTTTTTCATAGTTATGCGTTAAGTGTTATTTTATTACCGTAATCAGAGATCGGCATTATAGTGGTATTAACGAGTATCTTTAAAAATATTATAACGCATTTAAATGTTTCTAACTTGGAAAAGTAACGTTTTAATACTAAACTAGCTTCTTTTCCCTATCATAATATCAAACTAAATTATTTTCCTATTCAT